CAGTGGCCCGCGATGCGTGTCAACTTGTGGCCCAGTTTTCAACGCACAGTTTGGGCCTTCGTAAGCACGGCACAGAGTGGATATGTGGCCTCCACCTGCACACATCTCCGAAGTGTGGAATGCGTGTCCTGCATACCAGGTCGATTCAGGCAACTTTATTTTTGTAAAACAAAGTTTCTGAGCACGGACCAAAATGCCCAATATGTCTAGAGGCCAGCAACAAACAGCACCACTATCAAAGTTGTAATGGATAATAATTTTCACGTTTGAGCAAGGTCATAAGAAACCTTGAAAAAATGTTAACTATGGCAGGGAATTTCAAAAGTGACACAGTTCGAGGGAACGAGCAGGAAGAGAAGTCTGGTGACCTGCGGTGTGGTGGTTGAACACCCGGTGTGGTTGAGGTGAATCAGTCTGCAAGACCAAATCCTCAACATGGGCGGAGGAGTCAAGGAGTGAAGTTCAAAGGAACTGTTGTAGCAGTGATAGACGAGTGATAAGGAGACGACTGACCGCCCGTGAACGAGTGACCAGAGTTAATCCAGTGAGTGCTGGATCACCCACCCGCCTGTTTCCATAACTCAGAATCTAAATCTTTGTTTATACTGGAGGAATCCGATGAGCTATGAAGCTCTTTTTTTTACAGATGTCCAGTAAATTGCGGGTCAGAGAGTTACAACAAATATAACTGCGTGCACACAGGAGACAAGCAGCCTTAAATTGCCCACAGGTCTTATAGTTGAGTTATTAACGCCTTCGAACTGGGTTGAAATGCAATTATGAACGAGCGTTTGCCAATCGGATCTGATCCAATTAAATTAGATTTACTTTGAACCAAACTTTAGTTTAGTACAGAGTTGTGTTACTATTCATGACTCGCCCTATGGACATCCGGGCACGCTGATCGATACAATGCTGCCCCACTCTTGGAGAGACAGAGACCACGGTGTTTGTCGTGAACGTGCAACCACATTTGCTCTTAGAGCTCCATGCTGGCTGCGATGCTGCTGATTAAACAGCTAAGCAAGCAAGACCGGGAACGCCTGAAATCACCAATGCTCGTAACACCTCACTACTCCCCTCACCTACACTCACCTCAACCTCACTACTCCCCTCACCTACACTCACCTCAACCTCACTACTCACCTTATCTACACTCACCTCAACCTCACTACTCCCCTCACCTACACTCACCTCAACCTCACTACTCCCCTCACCTACACTCACCTCAACCTCACTACTCCCCTCACCTACACTCACCTCAACCTCACTACTCACCTCACCTACACTCACCTCAACCTCACTACTCCCCTCACCTACACTCACCTCAACCTCACTACTCACCTCACCTACACTCACCTCAACCTCACTACTCACCTCACCTACACTCACCTCAACCTCACTACTCCCCTCACCTACACTCACCTCAACCTCACTACTCACCTCACCTACACTCACCTCAACCTCACTACTCACCTCACCTACACTCACCTCAACCTCACTACTAACCTCACCTACACTCACCTCAACCTCACTACTCCCCTCACCTACACTCACCTCAACCTCACTACTCACCTCAGCCTCACTACTCACCTCAACCTACACTCACCTCACCTACACTCACCTCAACCTCACTACTCACCTCACCTACACTCACCTCAACCTCACTACTCACCTCACCTACACTCACCTCAACCTCACTACTCCCCTCACCTACACTCACCTCAACCTCACTACTCACCTCAGCCTCACTACTCACCTCACCTACACTCACCTCACCTACACTCACCTCAACCTCACTACTCACCTCACCTACACTCACCTCAACCTCACTACTCACCTCACCTACACTCACCTCAACCTCACTACTCCCCTCACCTACACTCACCTCAACCTCACTACTCCCCTCACCTACACTCACCTCAACCTCACTACTCACCTCACCTACACTCACCTCAACCTCACTACTCCCCTCACCTACACTCACCTCAACCTCACTACTCCCCTCACCTACACTCACCTCAACCTCACTACTCACCTCACCTACACTCACCTCAACCTCACTACTCACCTCAGCCTCACTACTCACCTCAGCCTCAATACTCCCCTCACCTACACTCACCTCAACCTCACTACTCACCTCAGCCTCACTACTCCCCTCACCTACACTCACCTCAACCTCACTACTCACCTCAGCCTTACCTCACGACTCACCTCAGCCTTACCTCTCCACGCACCTACACTCACACGACTCACTTCACTCACCTAATCACCCCACGATGCAATTCGCCAACAATTACCACTCACCTCGCTCCTCACCTCGCTACTCAACTCACCTACACTCACCTCAGCAGTCAACTCATCGCTACGCTGTACTCACCGCCTCTCAAACCCGAGCTTCCCCGCTCCCACTCTACTCACCCTCACTAGCCTCACAAACCACACTCACCTCCCCTCACCCCACTCCTCACCCGACTCGCCAACTAAACACATCACTCACCCGACTCACCCCACTCCTCACCCCACTCCTCACCCCACTCCTCACCCCACTCCTCACCCCACTCCTCACCCCACTCCTCACCCCACTCCTCACCCCACTTACCCGACTCGCCCCACTCACCTCTCCTCACCCCACTCGTCACCGACTCACCCGGCAGAGCCCGGCTTGGAGTGAGGAGTCCGCGGAAGAGACGCGGCGCTCGTCACATCCGCGACTCCAAGACACGCCCCCAGTACCCCTCCCCCCGTACCCCCCTCTCCCCGTACCCCCTCCCCTCTCTCCTTACCCGCCCCCCCTCCCCGTACCCCCCCCCCCGTGCCCCCCCTCCCCTCTCCCCCCTCCCCTCTCCCCGTACCCCCCACCCCTCTCCTCCTACCCCCCCTCCCCTCCCCCCGTACCCCCCTTCCTTCCCCCTGTACCCCCTCCCCTCTCCAACTACCCCACCTCCCCTCCCCCCGTACCCCCCCTTCCTTCCCCCTGTACCTCCCTCCCCTCCCCTCCCCCCGTACCCCCCCTTCCTTCCCCCTGTACCTCCCTCCCCTGCCCTCTCCCCGTAACCCCCCATCCCCTCCCCCCGTACCCCCACCCCTCTCCTCCTACCCCCTCCCCTCCCCCCGTACCCCCCTTCCTTCCCCCTGTACCCCCCTCCCCTCTCCTCCTACCCCCCTCCCCTCTCCCCGTGCCCCTCCCCCCCTACCCCCCTCCCCTCTCCCCGTACCCCCCTCCCCTCTCTCCGTACCCCCCCCCGTACCCCCCCTCCCCTCCCCGCCCTCCCCCCGTACCCCCCTCCCCTCTCCCCGTACCCCCTTCCCCCGTGCCCCCTCTCCCCTCTCCCCGTACCCCCCTCCCCTCTCTCTGTACCCCTCCCCCCGTACCCCCCTCCCCTCTCCCCGTACCCCCTCTCTCCGTACCCCCCTCCTCTCCCCATACCCCCCTCCCCTCTACCCGTACCCCCCCCCCCTGCCCTCCTCCCGTACCCCCCACCCCTCTCCCCGTACCCCCCTCCCCTCTCTCCTTACCCCCTCCCCCCGCACCCCCTCCCCTCTCTCCCTACCCCCTCCCCCCGCACCCCCTCCCCTCTCTCCGTACCCCCTCCCCTCTCTCCGTACCCCCCCGCCTCCCCCCGTACCCCCCTCCCCTCCCCCCGTACCCCCCTCCACCCCCTCGTACCCCCCCTCCCCTCCCCCGTACCCCCTCCCCTCCCCCCGTGCCCCCCTCCCCCCGTCAAGACAAAGATCCCCCCCGTATAGCCTCAACAAGACGTCGGGGCAAGTGCAGTGGGCGAGTCGCACCTACGAAGGCCGGCCAGGCACGGCACGCGAGGGGAGGGGGTGGGTTTGCATGCACCGACGCCCGACCGCCTTCATCTCCCCAGTGGCGATGTCTAATTACGCATCGCACCAGGTGACTCGTTTTCGGAGGCCGGTCCTGGTGTTGGTGGCCGTGGGCGGGAATCGAACTCGGATCTCTGCCGGGTCTCAGGTGGCAGTGCGCGGAGTGTGACTCTTGTGGGGCTGGGCTGGCAGTTCGTTACGGGACGTTTCGTGTTTCGTTCTCGAACGAAAAATAGTGCCGTAATTGGGTACCAGAAAAAGCTTCGAGAATAATGGATGGATAACACGCAAGTTTCTAGTTCATCGTTTGCTTGTGTTATCTTTTTTTGTAGAAAGATCCTTATCAGAGAAATAAAAACATATTCTGCCAACATGGTTGACTTTTTTTCGGCTCGGATTTCAACACATTGATTAAAAACTTAAAAATGCTTACTTGTTATCAACGGCGAGTTGGTTTTTGAGAAGGGAATCTTGCCAGCCGTTTTAGTTTTTCACAACTGATGTGTTACATTCCTGTGGACGCATTTATATAAGGGGGTAGAATGAGTATCGGAATTAAGCTTAGCTTTTAATTAACCTGAGTTGGTACGAAAAGAGAACGACAAAATCTCTATTTTCGTACCGTACCGTACTGCCACCCTTGTTGTGGGGTAACGGTCAGCACGCTGGGCATGCAGCTTAGAGGTGGTAATTTCAACTCCATCTCCTGGTGCGGCAATTTAAACATCAAGGTCGCACTCATCACACGAAAAATGTTTGTCACTAGTGAACGATACCTCGCCTATCTCATCAAGGAGCATAAACCATCATCACGCGCATTACGGTCATCATCGCAGCAGCAAATTTTGGCTTGCCATCGAACAAAGACGGCCACCGCATCGCGCACTTTCTGATGCCATTCTGCGGCCGTCTGGAACGCTCTTCTTTAAGATATTAGGAAGCCACTGGAGCTATGGACTTTAAGTATAGATTGAAATTTATTTTCTTTAGAACTGATTTTTGTGTTTAGTTTGTTGTCCTTCCCCCACACCTATTACCACGGTTGGCTACGTACAGTACGAAAGAAGTTCAACATACATACATCATCGTGATTATGAACTTAGCCCCGTGCCTCTGGTGCGCTTCAACTCGTAGCAGAATTACAGCAAACTTCATGGGACACAGAGTTGTGTAACTTCCAAATATGTTTATTAGACTCACAATATAATGCACACAGTACCGTGCTACCAGACACATCCTCCGACTCGGTTTCCACGCTGTCAATCATAGGCTTCAATGAACGTCCTACTCCCCACCATGATTGTCACCCAGTCCCATTCCCCATAAACATTCTTGGCGCCACCGAAAATGGTTGAAGCCCGGCCTGGGTGGCTACTCGGAGCAAGCGGCTCGGAATCAGAAGGTTGCGAGGTTAAATCCTGGTTGGGGGGGGGGGGGGGGAGTTGACTCAGCACATCATCCATGTGGGGTAGATAAAATAGGGACCACTCTGTGGGGAAGTGACCAGTGGTTGTGCGAAAGACATACTTTCCCCCACTTCATAGGAATGACATTTCCACCACTGGCTCAGGGTTGTAAACAGGACATGAGGACCGCGTCGATGGTCGTTTGAGCAGGAAGCCACTTTGAATAACCTAAAACACATTCAATCCTAAACACACAGCGTGATAGACGAAACCCAATGCAGTATTGCAAGCGGGGGCATGCGGATGTGTAATTCAGAAGTGGCGTGGTACACATGTTTCAGAATGAACAAAACGTGGCTCTCTGGGGCAAGTGAACAACAGGCTGAGACTCCAGTGTAGGTTCAGGCCAATTCCAATCCCAGTAGCCGTACATCCACTGGCGTTCGTGTGGTGCTCCACTTCTGTAACCCAGAATTTTGGAGGCAAGGGTTGGTGGATCATGTAAGCACTCGTGAAACTTCCAAACCTGCTGGGCTATGGAGGTGGCCAGGAGACAGCAGACCCCTTGAGTGGTATCCCGCTAGTGTGCGGTGTGTCCCCACACGCCAGCCTTCAACACTCGTCCCGCGATGGGAACACAAATATAATAATAACAACAATCATTTTACGGGGGAATGTTTTAATTATCTCTGCGCCGGGTTTGGTAGCATTTCACAAAACGATTTTGGGAGAGTACAAAAGGATCGCGGCCACTGCCTAACACAAAGGGAGATGCGATTAAATAAGGAGACGGATTTTTTTGGGTCTATTGAAGCGGGCACCTCCTTAAATGGTTTAATGCACAGAAAAAAAAACATCTAAACCACAACGCAGTCTTTGTGTGATTAACCAAACAATCCCTGCCCTGCTTTGCAGACTATGAACGGCACGACAATGGCACAGCCGCAATTAAAGTTTGCTTCCTGCCTCTGCATTTCATTCTGCTATTAGAATAATTGAATTTCTCATAATTGGATTTCTCATTATTTCACAGACCATTCAGGGACTTAAAGCTTTAGCAAAGGATCCATCTGCAAGAGAGAGACAAAGGCGCGTGTCACCCGTGGCCACATTACACCTCCGATTAGCACGGTTGGCTAAGACGTACGGTGCTAAAGAAGTTCAACATACATACATAGAAAACACGCGGCGAATATTCCCCAGCTCCCGGGCGTGGAGCGGAATGTCGGACACCGCGCCAAACGACGCGCGGCACAACCCGGCGGGGCGTCAGAGCGCCGTGTGGCGCAGTCCGGCGGTGGCCGGTAACGTTTGAGAAGTGGTGCGAGTGAAACGTCGACTCACCAGACAGCAGGATCCACTCTCAGAGGTATAGATTCCGCATCACCGCCCGGGGACGATGGCTCGTTGATAGTTTTAGAACTGAGGGAGAGAGGCCACGTGACGTTTAAAGATGTCTAAGACGGGTATCGGACTGTGCCGTGGGATAGTGGTCAGTGCGCTGGACTTGCGATGCACAGGTCACCGGTTCATTACAATCTCCCAACACGTCAGTTTCAACAATGGGGGGAGGTTTATTAATCCTGCCAGCCTCTGTTTGAACTGGCAACCTGTAGATTCCAAGTCTAGCGGGCACTGCCCACGGCACCACGGCAGCTCCCTTCGCTTTCTCGGTTAAAAGGTACAATGTAAAGTTTATCGCTGGACGTGTCTATATACGCGGCCAATCGGTGACCGATACCAAACAAACAAAAGTTCCGTTGTGCACATAGCGAGCGGACTAAGAACACGGGGGGCGGACAAGGAACATGGCGGGCAGACGAAGAACACAGCGAGCGGAAAAAGAACACAGGTAGCGAATGAAGAACACGGCGAGCGGATGAAGAACACCGCGAGTGGTCGATGAACATGACGAGTGGATGAAGAGCACCGTGAGAGGATGAAGAACACAGCAAGTGGACGAATAACACAGCAAGCAGATAAAGAACACAGCGAGAGGATGAAGAACACAGCGAGCGGACAATGAACATGGCGGACGAGCCAAGCGCAGCGCCTACCCTTTCTTGGCGAAGCAGGCCTTCTTGGTGAAGAAGAGGCCGAGGACGACGGCGATAGCAGCAGCGATGATGAGGCAGACAACCACGATGATGATGATGGTCTTGCTGTCATCTTCCTTCACTGTCAAAAAAAACCATGGGGCCCAGGAGAGCTACGGAATCATTTTGCATGACAAATAATCGCGCATGTGGTACATATGCCATCCGTGCCATCCTTATAGCGCGACGGTTATCGGCGAAGGCGTCGTGTTACACAAACAGGTATAGTCTGCCAGCATGGGAGCACTGTTGCTCTGTGGTTTTACCTAGTTCATCAAAAACTATTAAACAAAAGAATAATATTCTTAGTTTTTTCGGTAAAGTCACGTTGAAGAGAAACAACAAAATAACAAAATATATATAAAACAATAAAAAATTCTCACGACGTTTCGACCATAACTCAAACGGTCATCATCAGGTGATGATGATGATCATCAGGTGATGATGACCGTTTGAGTTATGGTCGAAACGTCGTGAGAATTTTTTATTGTTTTATATATATTTTGTTATTTTGTTGTTTCTCTTCAACGTGACTTTACCGAAAAAACTAAGAATATGAATTACTGCAGTCACGAAAGCTTTAAATCAAAAAGAATAATACTTTACCAGGTAAGGCCGACTGAGCTATGTAGCTCTTTGTCAGAAGCGACCTGTCCACAAACGATAGCTCAACAAAGTGGCTTATCACGTGGAAATTGATAGCAGCCAAATACTCTAAACACATGTTGATTCTAAATGTGGAAGGGAAAAACCGGAGGACCCGGAGAAAAATCCACACGACCACGGGGAGAGAGACATGCAAACTCAAAAAATACGGGCGTCAGGGTCAGGATCGAACCCACGACTTCCCCTATACCAGGCGAGGTAGTTATCATCTCTCCACCGGGAAGTTTTTCAAATTGGGACCGTGACGTGGGTGCGCATGGGCTTGTCTTTTACAAAGTCACGACACTAACCAGGGCGGCCGCCGGGCTTCAACCGCACGGCCGCCCCCTAATAGTAAACGCGTGGCGCGCCACCCTCGCCACCCTCGCCAATGTTGCAACCCTCGCCACCATCGCCACCCTTGCTCACCCTCACCGACCCCCGCCACCCTCTCCCACCCTCGCCACCCGCGCCCACCTTTGCCCATCCTCGCCACCCTCACAACCCTCGTCCACCTGCGCCACCCTCGCCCACGCACGCTTCCTTCCTGGTGGCCTGTTGTTCCACTGAAATTACCACGTCACGTTTCTATTCTTTTTGTTCAAAATATATATTTCCGGTGATGAACACGTTGGGAAACGAGATGCTGACCCTGCGTCAAGACGAAGGACTTCACCGCCTCTCCGTGCTGGTTCTTGGCTTTGCACGTCACTTTGGAGGGAAAGTTATTGGACAAATTGATGGTCACCCTGCTGATGACACCCGTCACCGTCACTTGTTGCGAAATGGTGGACTGCTGCAAAAACATTGACAAAGAAAGGGTTTTTTTGGGGGGGTTACATCGTATAAATATATAAATATAAACACATTGTTAAACCCGCCTGTCGCCACCGGACAAGCAGCCAATAGGTATGGTTTGTCACATATACAAAATGTACCATTATTCTTATTTTTCATACTTTTATACTGGAAAAAGGTAACCAATGACATAGCTGCTCACCCCGAGCTATAAATGCTCTGATACGTGCATTGTCTTTGTACTGTTCATCTTTTGGCGTTCTCTGGTCTGACACTGGTGAGACTAGGCCATAAAGAAGGCTGTCTCTGCTGTTGGCCAATCCGTTTCAAAGACAATGCAAGTATATTATCAGAGCTTGTTTGTTTGCATGTTCACACAAGTACGTTGTGTGGTTCATGCAGACTTGATGCCTTGCAAGAGGTTTCTATTTGGTGTTTGAACATCTTAACACCTCCTGTTTTATTGCCAGAAAGGGGAAAACCTGTTCTTATATCTAAACGTACCAGTTAGTTACTAGGTCAGCACACCGGTGTCTTGGAGGGTAAACCCACAACATTGACAATTCGAGTACTGTGACGTTTTGCTCATGATTGGGACCAGCTTCATCAAGCGATGTGCCAGAATTGCGATGGTGGGTGCCGGGTGATTGTGGGTCAATGACACATTTATATTTACGCGATCTAACCCAAATAGTATAATATTGGTCGCAAAAGTCTACGTGTTAAACTGCTGAAAAACACATCACGGTCGTGTCACACAGCGGGCTCCAAGATCGTCTAAATTTATCATCGTCAGCGCTGATTATTATTGGATAATGTCACAGTACTCGAATTGTCAATGTTGTGGGTTTACTCTCCAACACACCAGTTAGTGCTGTTTTTTGTTTACGCGACAAACCTTACTAATTGGCTGTGTCACGTGGTGGCGGGTTTAACGACGCACTTATATTTACGCGATAACATTGATCGCAAAAGCCCTACTATTACGCGTTAAACCTTATTGCGCTCGTTAACCCAGGAAAGCTCTCTGAGTCTCAGGACTTTTTCTTTCAGGAGGGTCCTGCCAAGTCTCACAGGGCTGGAGGTGTTGCTACTGCTGCTGCTGTGTAATCCCAAAATAGTAAATTGCACGACTTTTGTCAGCATCGCGATGTTTTTTGGCCAACAATATAAATATTTTCTGCGTTTTAATTGTTTAGTCTTGGGAGAAAACCGGAGGATCCGGAGGAAACCCATACTGCACGAGGGCAAGAGAACATACAAACTCCACGCAGAGAGAGGCGCCCGAGTCGGGAATCGAACCCAGGCCTTGAACACCACTACTCTTGCGTTGTGTGGGGGGGTAAGTCCAACTTGCATATCAGAGACTGGCTTTCCGTGGTATAATCACTGTCACGTGAATTACGGGTGCCAGAGAGACGCTGTGATCTGGTGAACACGTCCCGGCACGTGTCAACTACCAGGCGCATGGCTCAGCGGGCAGAGCCAGCAGCTCGCAAACGGACAGCAGCGATATTCACATCCTGGCTGGCTGGGTTGTTGACTCACAGTCCCATCATCCCTTTGGGGGGGGGTCCGTAAAGAGAGTACCCCTTTGTTGGGAAGTCAACAGTGGTTGTTCCACAGACAGACTCACTCCCGTTATAGAAGCATAGAATATTTCCACCGCTGGCCTCGGGAGACGGGGGGGGGGGGTACGTACACAGGAGATGAGCACCGACGCCACGGTGCAGTGCCGCTGTGTGCGTGTGTGCGTTGTGTGTGTGTGTGCATGTGCCAACTGTGCACAGTAGGGGGTACAGCTAGTGCTACCGGTCATCTCAGTCAGCCAACCCATGGCACTTGGGTCTGGCCCGAGACCTCCTGTCAGCGAGCCTTCAACACTTCACGTGGCCTCAAAGTGCACCTGGCCTGGCACAGACGCCGTGGTGACATCACTTTGTGGCAAATGGAGGGTATTGGTATGTGTGTGTGTACGTTATGTGTGAGTGTGTGATGTGTGTGTGTTTAAGTCGTAGTTTCGTGGTAATTTTTGGAAGGTGGAGGGGTTACCAGCCCCTCGCACCCGTTCAGAGCCCCTGTTTAGCCCCTGTGGTGGTCACAGACGCCATGAGGGGAGGAACCAATCGGAACTGGCCCTCCCCCCACAGCACTGTCCACGACAGAGTTGCCCGTGCGGCACCGCGAGGAGGTAGGGGGTTGTTTTGCCGATGACTGGTACCAGCGGTGTCAAGATCGGCCTCTGTGGAGGAGGCTCGTGAAGGACGCTACTGGGCAGTTGGAGGCAGTCACCCTCCAACAACAACGGAGGGCGGAAGAACGACGCTCACAACAACGAGCGGAGCGCCGGGTGGATAAAGCACAGCAGGTTGGCACAGTAGGGGGCACAGGTGGTGCATCAGCCAGTCATCTCAGTCAGTCGACCCGTGGCACCTGGGTCTGTCCGGTGACCTCCTACCAGCGGGCGTTCGACGCTTCACGTGGCCTCAAGGTGCACATGGCCTGGCACAAGCGTCGTGGTGACGCCACCGCCACTTAGTGGCGAATGGCGGTTGTTGTGTGTGTGTGTGGAGCTCACGGCCAACACCAGTGACGATTATCTGAACTGGTCCCGGGCCTCCCCTAGGTCGACTCAGCCTCAAAATTAATACCTGGTGCGGTGTGTAAACATCGCCGCTAGGGAGACAAAGGCGGTCGGGCGTGGTGCTGGCCACCCACCCCCTCGTGTACCGTTCCGACCTTCATAGGTGCTCGCTAACAGCACTTGCCCCTACAGTCTGTTAAGGCTATACGGGGGATCTTTGTTTATCTTTGTTTGTATGTGTGTGCGCATCTCGCCGGCATGGTTACCGTTCCGTCCGGCAGGGTCCACCGTACGATAGAGAGGGGGTAGCCCAGAGCCTCGCAGGTGAGCACCACCGACTTCTCCGATGGCTGTACGGACACCTCCTCGTTCTTTCCCGAAGCCATCATCGGCTCTCCTGGCGAGCACAGCGAGGAATTTTAACGCGTTGGCCGAGCGTCTCTGAACGCATGCTGCCATCAATCCTCGCCATTGACTCAGCAAAGCGTCTGGACGCACGGGCCCACCGCACACTCAAAATCAGAGTAAGTAGTTATACTGTCGAAATCAGATGAGCTATATAGCTCTTTTTCACAGATGTCCACTACGGGCCTTCCTTTACCCATGTAAAGCAAGGCAAGGTTGTGGAGCAGTGCAAGCTGACAAGAGATCAGGGTATTTGGAAAATTATAAATACAATCACTGACACACATTCAGCTGTTGAGATGGTGGTCTGGGCAAGGCTGGGGAGTATTATACATGCAATGGTGGTGGTCACTTGACATGTGGCAAGGAATTGTGGGAGTCGTGCCTTGCTGCTGTTTAGCTCGTTTTTAAACATTTGTAGTGAGTCCAACTGAGACGCAGACGTTATCTTAGGAGCAACACTATTTATTTACACAACGGTACGTAACATAACACAATCTACACTCGTGTTTCCAATGCCCATCTAACCACGCTACGGCAGAACTAGACACGGTTCGCTATCCCGGTCCAGACTACAAGCTGGGTCCCGGACCGCGTGGCTAGAGACTTCTTCTCCCCGACGTGGATCTTCGAACATCAACATCTGAAGAACCCCGAGCTCCTCACAAAGCTCTCGTTATATGCCCCCGGGCTGGGGCTGGCTCCGCCATTTGCTGTGCCCACCTTCCAGGTCTCTCAAGCTTCTTCTCGAAGGTTCCCGAGAGCTCCTTTGGACCACGTGACCGCCCCACGGCCCCCGTCCACCAGTGCCCCCCCTCCAATATCGTCCGGTCACGTGACAGCAGGTCAACCAGCGGATCATGCCCCAAGGTAACCCTGGCTGGCTGACGCTCCCTCTCGCTCCCTCACCGGGAGCCCGCACCGCACACTGCTCGTGGTACCTCAGCGCTAACCAGCGCTCACCCAAGCCCCGCTAGGGCTGGTGGTACTACATCCCGTAACCCGGGCTGCCCATAATGACAACACATTACCCGCCGTGGCTTCGTAAGCGCCGGCACCATAAGTGACAAGCACAATCACTAAATCTGTACGAGCCCACCGATACGTTCACCGATAAGTAGAAATTAATATTAATTGGGAGTTACAAAACAGGCTTGAAGGCATCCTGAGTGACACTGGCGGCGTTCTTACCATGCACGGTTATTGCGGAGGACGCTTCCCTCTGCAGGTCGCTCGCGTTGATGCTCGCAAAGCGGCAGGTGAAGTTTCCCGAATCGTAATAGTCGGCCACTTTTGAAATCTTCATGCCGTAGTCGAAGATGTTGCCATTCTGGAGAATGCGATCGACACGTGCCATGAATACAATTCGCATGGCGACGATGCTGCACTATGATGACGCTGCATAGTTACACAGTGACGTTGCTGCACCATGATGACGCTGCACAGTTACACAGTGACGATGCTGCACTATGATGACGCTGCACAGTTACACAGTGACGATGCTGCACTATGATGATGCTGCATAGTTACAGTGACGATGCTGCACTATGATGATGCTGCACAGTTACACAGTGACGTGCTGCACTATGATGACGCTGCACAGTTACACAGTGACGATGCTGCACTATGATGACGCTGCACAGTTACACAGTGACGATGCTGCACTATGATGACGCTGCATAGTTACACAGTGACGATGCTGCACCATGATGACGCTGCACAGTTACACAGTGACGATGCTGCACTATGATGACGCTGCACAGTTACACAGTGACGATGCTGCACTATGATGATGCTGCACAGTTACACTGTGACGATGCTGCACTATGATGACGCTGCATAGTTACACAGTGACGATGCTGCACAATGACGCTGCACAGTTACACAGTGATGATGCTGCACTATGATGACGCTGCACAGTTACACAGTGACGATGCTGCACTATGATGATGCTGCACAGTTACACAGTGACGTGCTGCACTATGATGACGCTGCACAGTTACACAGTGACGATGCTGCACTATGATGACGCTGCATAGTTACACAGTGATGATGCTGCACTATGATGACGCTGCATAGTTACACAGTGACGATGCTGCACTATGATGACGCTGCACAGTTACATAGTGACGTGCTGCACCATGATGACGCTGCACAGTTACACAGTGACGATGCTGCACTATGATGACGCTGCATAGTTACACAGTGACGATGCTGCACTATGATGATGCTGCATAGTTACACAGTGACGATGCTGCACTATGATGACGCTGCATAGTTACACAGTGACGATGCTGCACCATGATGACGCTGCACAGTTACACTGTGACGATGCTGCACTATGATGACGCTGTATAGTTACACAGTGACGTGCTGCACTATGATAATGCTGCACAGTTACATAGTGACGTGCTGCACTGTGATGACGCTGCACAGTTACACAGTGACGATGCTGCACTATAATGATGCTGCATAGTTACACAGTGACGATGCTGCACTATGATGACGCTGCATAGTTACACAGTTACGTGCTGCACTATGATGACGCTGCATAGTTACACTGTGACGATGCTGCACTATGATGACGCTGTATAGTTACACAGTGACGTGCTGCACTATAATGATGCTGCATAGTTACACAGTGACGATGCTGCACTATGATGACGCTGTATAGTTACACTGTGACGATGCTGCACTATGATGACGCTGTATAGTTACACAGTGACGTGCTGCACTATAATGATGCTGCATAGTTACACAGTGACGATGCTGCACTATGATGACGCTGTATAGTTACACAGTGACGTGCTGCACTATGATAATGCTGCACAGTTACATAGTGACATGCTGCACTGTGATGACACTGCACAGTTACACTGTGACACTATGATGATGCTGCATAGTTACACAGTGACGGCGCTGGCGGGCCTCATCTCCCGGCGCGTCAGGGTGAAACGTTGGTACAAATGCATTCAGTCGCCCACACCATCCGTCCAGCGGTATAATTTGGGAACAGCACAGTTAATCGATTGGCAGGTAGCGTGTGGTGAGGCAAAGGGTGGGTACTGCCACTATTCCACGGATACCAAATACATCACATTACCTCCATACTGTACATAATACGGTACATAATACGGTAAGTGACTTTACCGAAAAAACCCAGAATATAATACAGTATTTTAAAAACAAAACGTTTTGCTGGCTGGCTGGCTGACTGGCATGCAGGTGACGGAGAGGAAAGAGATACATGGAAAGAGAGCGAAGGAAGGCGACAAGCAGTGGGAGGGAAGGGTCAGGGAGAGGTGAGAGAGATTGAGAGCGAGGTGGTAGAGGTGAGAAATGGGGAGAGAGATAGCGGGAGAGAAGTGGGAGGCGTACAGCGGAGGGACGAGAGAGAGAGAGGGGACAGGGGAATAGAGAGACAGAGACAGAGTGAGAAATCTAGATACATAGTGACATGCAGCACAGAGAAGGCAAGTTAAAAAGTTTTGCTGGCTGGGACGGACGGACCGTTATGACCAATGGGCGCACGGATTGCTCGTTATTGTACAAAATAAACAGCGGAATTGTTGGCGGTGCTATGGGGGCCAGAGGGGAGGGGCTGTGGGGGGACCGAGCCTCGTGCCACGAGGGCAACGCAAACACCAAAACTACAGTGTGTAGTTGTGTTACTGAAGAACACCTCATTATAGAAAAATCTCGTTATGATGAATAATAAATAATATAGGGGAAAGCACAATCCGCGATAACACGTGAGATGTCTACGCAGGCCAAACAAAGACTGAGGCGTGAAGGTGCCATCTCGAAGCATCTAGCAGCATCCCGCTTAGCACGATGCTATGCCGAGGCCGCCGTACGATCACTTATTCCTACTCGCACGACGTAGTTCCTTTAGCTCAAATCGCGTTCTATCCAATTCGCATCCGCATCATAAAAAATGTGTTCCTTAATACATTAATTGTGTTTTATCCAATTTGCCTCATGAAAACAACAAGACGCATTCTAGAGATAACAGACTGCACTAAGTTGCGTTACCATTGTAAATTAAACTGATCCCAAAACTCCTTTCCCCATCTGTAGGTCATCTGTAACACATTCCCACATGAAAATATTTCGCCATGGCAGCGTTCACTCCCAAAATACGTAGGGAAGGTAGACCTGTGGGTATTTTTGTTGTACACAACTGAGCGCAGTACACAGGTACCGCACAGGTACCGCACGCTCACAGGTACCACGCGCTGATGTACCGCGCGTTTGTCTACCTTCCGTGCGTGCGTGCCGGTAGTCGCGTGGTTACGTTTGGGATGTGAGCTCGCGTTACACACCGACGCGTTTGGCCACGTCACGCGTGCTTACTGCAAGCAACTGCCGCAACGCACCTTCAACTCGCCTTCAACGTTCGCTGAACGTGCCATGCGCGCGCCTCATACAGTGAGGGAAAAAAAGTATTTGATCCCCCGCTGATTTTGTAAGTTTGCCCACTGACAAAGAAATGATCAGTCTATAATTTTAATGGTAGGTTTATTTGAACAGTGAAATAAAGAACAACAACAAAATCCAGAAAAACGCATGTCAAAAATGTTATAAATTGATTTGCATTTTAATGAGGGAAATAAATATTTGACCCCTCTGCAAAACATGACTTATACTTGGTGGCAAAAACCTTGTTGGCAATCACAGAGGTCAGACGTTTCTTGTAGTTGGCCACCAGGTTTGCACACATCTCAGGAGGGATGTTGTCCCACTCCTCTTTGCAGATCTCCAAGTCATTAAGGTTTCGAGGCTGACGTTTGGCAACTCGAACCTTCAGCTCCATCCACAGACTTTCTATGGGATTAAGGTCTGGAGACTGGCTAGGCCACTCCAGGAACTTAATGTGCTTCTTCTTGAGCCACTCCTTTGTTGCCTTGGCCGTGTGTTTTGGGTCATTGTCATGCTGGAATACCCATCCACGACCCATTTTCAATGCCCTGGCTGAGGGAAGGAGGTTCTCACCCAAGATTTGACGGTACATGGCCCCGTCCATCGTCCCTTTTATGCGGTGAAGTTGTTCTGTCCCGTTAGCAGAAAAACACCCCCAAAGCATAATGTTTCCACCTCCATGTTTGACAGTGGGGATGGTGTTCTTGGGGTCATTGGCAGCATTCCTCCTCCTCCAAACACGGCGAGTTGAGTTGATGCCAAAGAGCTCCATTTTGGTCTCATCTGACCGCAACACTTTCACCCAGTTGTCCTCTGAATCATTCAGATGTTCATTGGCAAACTTCAGACGGGCATCTATATGTGCTTTCTTGAGCAGGGGGACCTTGCGGGCACTGCAGGATTTCAGTCCTTTACGGCGTAGTGTGTTACCAATTGTTTTCTTGGTGACTATGGTCCCAGCTGCCTTGAGATAATTGACAAGATCCTCCCGTGTAGTTCTGGGTTGATTCCTCACCGTTCTCATGATCATTGCAACTCCACGAGGTGAGATTTTGCATGGAGCCCCAGGCCGAGGAAGATTGACAGTTCTTTTGTGTTTCTTCCATTTGCGAATAATCGCACCAACTGTTGTCATCTTCTCACCAAGCTGCTTGGCAATGGTCTTGCAGCCCATTCCAGCCTTGTGTAGGTCTACAATCTTGTCCCTGACATCCTTGGAGAGCTCTTTGGTCTTGGCCATGGTGGAGAGTTTGGAATCTGATTGATTGATTGCTTCTGTGGACAGGTGTCTTTTATACAGGTAACAAGCTGACATTAGGAGCACTCCCTTTAAGAGTGTGCTCCTAATCTCAGCTCATTACCTGTATAAAAGACACCTGGAAGCCAGAAATCTTTCTGATTGAGAGGGGGTCAAATGCTTATTTCCCTCATTAAAATGCAAATCAATTTATAACATTTTTGACATGCGTTTTTCTGGATTTTGTTGTTGTTATTCCGTCTCTCACTGTTCAAATAAACCTACCATTAAAATTATAGACTGATCATTTCTTTATCAGTGGGCAAACGTACAAAATCAGCAGGGGATCAAATTCTTTTTTCCCTCACTGTATAAGGCGCGCGCGTTCCACGTTCAGCGAACGTTGAAGGCGAGTTGAAGGTGCGTTGCGGCAGTTGCTTGCAGTCGTCGCGAAGTCCTCGTGACGTCGAGTGACTGTTTTGGCGATCATCTCACCTTTTTCCACAAGTAGATCCCCTGCAGCTCGGGATTTGCCACCAATGCACAAGTGGCTTCGATCTTCCGTCCAACCATGACCACTTCGGGTGGATTCAACGTCGTGGTGAGTGAGTCGATGTCTGGAGAGGGTGTTCGGACGGGCGCGGAAAGGACACGCCGACAGTTCCACTCATGATCCGTCAGTAGAAATACATCTGAGACGTATTCATTATTTTTTCTGATTGTTTACCCAGGAAAGCCTCACCGAGACTCAACGCTCTCTTTCAGGAGAGTCCTGCTAAATGTTCGCAGGATACTACAATGCCGAGATATTAACTCCCTCGCCTAATATACAGGAGGTCCATCCGACCCTGATTTGGCGGTGGCGGTGGTGGTGGTTTTAGCGGCGGTGGTGGTGGCGGTGGTGGCAGCGGTGGTGGCTCGAGAGATGACGAGCTCAGAAGAAGGCACAGGGGGTCAAGAGTGGCCATAGCGCCGCGTGGGCCCACGTCCCACTCTGTCAAAATTCTGGAGCAGAAGTCCTGAATGTTTGGATGAGCGAGATGTGGGCAGCGGTGGTGTAGTGGCCCGAATTAAATTCCTGCTCACAGCCAACATCATTGACGATTATCTGAACCGGTCCTGGGCCTCCCCTAGGTCGGCTTAGCCTCAAATGAGTACCTAGTGCGGCATGTAAACATCGCCACTGGGGAGACAAAAGGTGACCAGACGTAGTGGTGGCCACCGACCCCCTCTGGTACCATGCTGGCCTTCATAGGAGCTGCTACTCACGAACAGAACTTGCACTGACAGTCTGTTACAGGCTATACGTGGTGGGGGGGGGGGGGTCTTTGTCTCTAATGCTGGGATGAGCGAGATGTCGATCTCATATTCACACGGCTAATCAGAAGATGCAATTGGCGCGACTAAATTATCCACTCGGAAGAAGGCCAAGACCCAGGTCTTTTATAGTTTGTTTTCGTTTTTTTGTTCTCCCCCCCCCACTGCTTCTATCTCTGACGTCACGAGACAGAGGATCCATAAAAAAACGATAAAACTATTTTTTATTTTACCAGGAAAGGCCTACTGAGCTGCTATGCAGCTCTTTTTCAGAAGCGACCTCCTGTCTATCACAAATGACAGCTCAACGAAGTGGCTTGTGTGGAAACGTATAGCAGCTCTAAACACATGTTCATTATGTGGAGGGGAAAACCGGAGGAGCTGGAGAAATATCTACGCGACCACGGGGAGTAGAGTACATGCAACTCCAAATATACAGCAGGTGTCAGAGTCGGGATTGAATCTACGACCTCCTGTATACCAGGAAAGGTAGTTCACGTCTCTCGCCACCGTTTCGTCTGCTTGGATCTCGCGCGGAGAGGCGCACCCCGTCCAGTTAGATAGCGGCCCGCGGACACCACAGATCTACCTCTGAGATCCCGTAATGTGACCTCTGCTCCACATGCAGTAGGGGGCAGCACTTTGTCAACGTTTGCCTCTTTCATGAAGTCCGTTTTAGGGAACCTTCACGTGCAACATATTGCATTCCTCTCAACATACAAAATACGAATGTGTCGCATTTAATGATACTCACAATTCACCACCAGTCTTTTTTCCGCCATCAACACCTGTTGCTCAGAGCCATTCACAAACACATTGCCCGAGGCGACGCAGGAGTAGTTGCCTGTGCGATCGCGCCTCACTTTCTGGATGAAGAGCCAATTCTTCTTGGCGTCCTGCTCGATCGGCACGCCATCCTAGGGAAAAGGGGATGCAAACAGCGGTGCTGGTTGAATGCCGCAAGGCATAGTCCCATCGCTCCCATCACACCTCCTAGGGCAGCTGTATTTTTTGGTATTTTATTTTTTACCAGGTAAGGCCCATTGAGCTGCCTAGCTCTTTTTCAGAAGCGACCTGGCCACAAATGATAGCTCAACGAAAGTGGCTTATCACCTGGAAATTTCTAGCAGCCAAACACTCTAAACGCATGATGTTGATTCTAAATGTGGAGGGGAACAACCAAAGGACCCGGAGAAAATCCACGCAATCACGGGGACAGAGAGAGACACGCAAACTCCAAATATACAGCATGCGTTAGGGTCAGGATAGAACCCAAGACCTCCTGCATACCAGGCGAGGTAGTTAACATCACACCTCTTAGGGGAGAGGTCGCGCGAACCTCCATTAGGGCTCCCCCCTCCCGGGGATACCCCTGGATATCTCTCGAAGGTACGCAAGACAATTCCCATGATGGCAGCGTGCACGTGGGGTTACCCACCAGTGGTGCCATTGTGCGTGCGAGCGATTCTAGAGCCGTACGCTCGTCTTTCGTATGCAAGTCTAGGAACCTGTGCCCTTGGCCAGCCTGGCCATCCTCAGGCTCTGCCCGCGCTCTCTCTCTCCCGTACCGCATTTATTCCGCTTCCATGTTATAAACGCTGGACCATGCTCCAGAAGGAGGCGAGATCGAGAGCGCACGACCCGCGTGCCGGGGCCAGCTTTTGCGAGCAAGCTACAGAACTTCGACCATTCACACCACCGTGCATCCAAAAAAAAACGCACCGGGCACGGGTTGGTCAACTCGGGCCAGGGCGGGTATGCGATGGTCGGATACGCGGCGTTCCGCTGTACCTCCACGGGCCCCTGTGCCCCCCTCATCTCACGCGGATGTTACAGGTGGGCGGGCGGCAGGGCGTTTGGTGCGGGGGATGGGGGGGGGCGTGCACGGAGGCCTTTGGCGCACTCACTTGGAAGAACGCAATCATTGCCGGAGGACTGGCGTCTGCGAGGCACCTCAGCTGGACGTCGTCTCTCTCCTTGATGCCCAAAGGCGGCGATGCCACAATCAGCTCCACCTCCTCCGCAGGGTCTGTTGGGGTTTAGGGGGGGCCGCGTTCTGAGTTACGGCTCGGGCTCGGCTCATGGGAATCCAGAGCGTGGTTGAATGGATTTTGAGCCGTGGCTCACTCGAGCCATGGCTAAGAATACGGCCTTTAGTCTCTGCACGCGGTTCAGCCACAAGTTCCTGCGCGCAAGTGTGCTCTTAGCATGCTCATAGGATGCTCTTAGTGTGCTTTTAGTGTACTCCCATGCTGTAACAGAGCTCATTCTCATCACGAGCACAATTGTATGAATGTATGTAGAACTTCTTTCGCACCCTACGAAGCCAACCATTCTAATCGGAGGTGCAGAGGGGGAAGGACAACAAACTAAACACAAAAATAAGTTCAAATTAAATTAGTTTTCAATCTAGGTGATTTAAAAGTGCATAGCTCCCAGTATAGAGGAAAGATGTACGATTTTACTGTTGCTGATGCCACAGCAGTGTCACAGACATTATCAGAGCGCTGAACTCACAATCCAGAGGTCACCGGTTCGATTCTATCTCCCGGGGCACGGTGATTGAAACAAAAGGGACAAAGTTTGTTCAATTCCCTGTTGCCCCCCGCCCCCTCGCCTCTGTCCATCCCAGGAGAGGACTCACAGTGCAGGGTGATGCGGATCTTCTCCGAGGATTTTGAGCGTGCTTGCCCGGGCATCTTGTAGTCGACCACACAGTGGTAGCTCGATATCCGGTCTGCCTTCTTGGGAACGTACTTCAAGGTGGAAGTGACGGAAATGAAACCTTCGTCCAATTTTTGCGACGTCATCGAAATTTTGACGTCTATTTCGGAAAGAGAGAGAAAAAACGAACGAAAAGCAGACAGGCAGCTTGGCGTTAAGGCGCCAGTCGAACGGCGATTTGCAACCGTGCGTTCGTGCACGGGGCACGAGAGGCAGTGGGGGCCCCCCACTGCCTCTCGTGCCTCCCCGAACGACGTGCAACAGCTGCGTTTCTCTGCGGCGCCCACAGGGGAGGGTGAACGCGTCGTTACCCCCCCACCCTGGTGGATACGGCGAAGCGCGATGGTCCGTTAGAGCGACGCTCGCGCAGGGAGAGCGCAACTGACACCACGAGCTCAAACTTCATGGCGGTCGGAGGGATCCTTCGTGTGCCAACTTAAAACATGGCCGATACTGTGATCCATATTCACTTTGGGTTTGGCCAAATCGTAGTTTTATGCCGATACATGTGTAATGAACTTCTCTACCACCTGCCGCACCTGCAGAAGTGTTCAGAAGCACGTTGTCCTTGTACCACGTGATGGCCGGCCTCGGGAAGACACGCTCCACCGTACAATTGGCGATCTGCATCGCGTGCGCACGGAGGGAACAAAGCGAGACGTGCATCGCTCGCATCTCGGGAGCTTCCCTGCGCCCCCCCCCCCCGCCCTCATCATCCCCCCACAGTAAACCGTGGTGCTCACAGCACAGTTCACGGACAATCAGCTCCACCTCCTCCGATACTGTGAACCAAGCCAATTTACTTCACAGGAAATTTAAATACTTACTATTTTGACTTTTTAAAGTTTTATTTTACCAGGTAAGGCCCACTGAGCTATATAGCTCTTCTTGAGAAGTAACCTGGCCACATATGAGAGCCGGTTATTGCAGCAGCCTGTGTACTAACCATAAATATACACGGCGTCTGCTTACAGATCCCCTGACATCATTCGAAACGTAGTAGCAGGCCATCGTGTGCCGGCATCATGATCCACATTTGCCAAACTTGAAAAAAAAATGACTCACTCAACTGGAACGACGCACTGCGAGCAGGCACAGCTGGCAGACAAATAAATGCCCCGCTCGCAAGCTAGGTGCAGAGACGTCTGGCAGCCACAGGGACAGCTGCCTTTGAGGGTGCCCTTTCAAATATGCAGTGGTTGTGTGTGGGAAGGGCTCCGGGATGCGGTGGCATAGAGGAGGGCAGCTCCATCTGTTATTGAACGGAACCTCTCACCTCGGTCAGTTGTCCGGTCAGTTGAACTGGCTCCGCCGTTCCAGATATCTTCACGTCCAGTTCAGCTGAAACGATCGGAGGCGCACAAATCGACGTCATAGCAAAAGTTTGACCCCATGTAGCGCTGGGCTCTGGGGACCGCCGCGGTGACCGATTGCCACGCGTTGCTTCCATCGCTCCACCGCTCGGATACGACGGCGGAAGCAAAAATAGTATCTCACCTCTGTTTCTACTATGCGTGCCGCTGAACGGGAGGTGATGGGCGGGGCTCGGTGACGTCGTCGGAGTCATCAGCCGGGCATGATGCGTCCGAGACATAAGGCCCCCGGTATAAGACTGGCGCATGAAGGCCTCTGCGAGCATCTATACTTCAGCTAAGCTAATCCACAGGTCGCATGCGGTGGGGTAAAGTATGGGTAGTCCCACATTTTCCAAGACGTGCGACACTTCTAGAAGGGTGCGCAAACATACGTTCTAGAGCAGCTCTAGCGCTGCCTTGAGTGCAGGGGTCTGCAACCTGCGGCTGGGAGCCGCATGCGGTGGCTCTTTATGGACTCCTTCGTGACATTATTCACACATGCTGCGGCTCTTAAAATATTGAGTTTTTGTTTACAGAATTAAAAAAAATTGGCGCTTCTTGTTATTTTGATTGCTGACCCCTGCTCTAGCGCTACCTCTAGTGAGGCCACCAGTGGCATGAGTAAGCCTTTGCAGGGCTGTGCATTCACTATAATTTATATACACTTGTCTCTACATTTCAATTACCTGCTAAAATAAAATCCAAATTGAAGTAATGTTATAAACTATTAATTTTTGTTTTATTTTATTAGGTAAGACCCACTGAGCTATATAGCCCTTTTTTATAAGCGACCTGGCAACAAATGATAGCTCAACGAAGCGGCTTATGACGTTGAAATGTACAGCAGCCAAATCATCCAAACGCATGACGTTGATTCTAAATGTGGAGGGGAAAACCAATTCAGACCTTATTGGTCAACCCGCGCCCTTATAAATCTCAACGTTCATCCTACGAAGTTTCATTACAAGGGAGAAACACGAACAAAGAAGACAAATATTTATTGCCTGTATTTAAATGGCTGTATACCGTATGGACCTGAAAAACTTAATTTCCCTGTACATTAATACGGGGTAAACCGTATGGGTTGACAGGTATGGGGAACAATCCGGAACACTGCTCCGGGAATGTGCGCGGCATGCATCATCTCACCTGACTTTTCTGAATCTGTTTATAGGATTGAAGACTCAGAGGGTACAATAATGTAGGCTTTTCATGGATAGACGTACCTTCTACCCTAGTGGTAGTGCCTTATGCCAATAATCCCTATTCCAAGCTGAGATTTTTATTTACACGCGATATTTTTTCATGACGCGCATTGCAATTTGCTCCGTTGTAAACAGACTCGACAAACTGAACAAGATCGCCTGGCCAGCCCGCCCAGCGGCATTCTGGGTAGAGTGAATGTAGAGTGAACAAAATTAAGCTCTGGCGAGAGACTCCTGATGAAGTGGGGAGAGGCTCACAGTAGACGAAGACCTTGGTCCTTCCCTCACTCAGCCCATCGGGTCCGGCAGACACCTGGCAGGTGAATGGGCGCGAGTCGATCGGTAAGGCGCTGTCGACCACCAGCGTGAACTGGTCTTTGATGTAGATGCGGCCCAGGTAACCAATGACGTTGTCGGCCTTCTGTATGCCACCCCCCTTGTAGTAAATTCTTGTCCGGGTCGCTCCGTCCCTCTGCAATCGCAAAAAGCCGTGGTGGAGCAACCGACGCAGGGCCCTTATTGTACCGGACCCTAACACAGCAACAAATATCATGAAATTAAACAAAATTAAAACATTTTTACCAGGTAAGGCTGAGCTATATAGCTCTTTTTTTCAGAAGCGACCCGGCCACAAATTATAGCTCAAAGAAGTGGCTTATCATCACGTGTAAATGTATAGCAGCCAAATACTCTAAACACGTGATGTTGATTCGAAATGTGGAGGGGAAAACCGGAGGACCTGGAGAAAATCGACGTTACCACAGGGAGAACACGAAAACTCCAAATATAAGAGGCGTCTAGTTCGGGATCGAACCCACGACCTTCTGTATACTAAATGAGGTCGTTAACATCTCACCACCCATAGAGGACTACCAGGAGGCAGTTGGGCGAAGCGTGAGTACAATGCCATGTGGCGCCGCGGGCAGGCTGCTCACGCCCTCCCGCTCTTGTGCGAGGGTTCCCTGCTCGCGCTCCTCACTCACGATGAACCAGCCGAAATCCGGATCGTCGATGTTGGAGCGGCCGGTCGTCATGCTCCAGGAGCACGGCAGCACCAGCTGCTGCCCGACCACCACCTCAACCAGTTCGTCCATCACCACTTCAATGTTCGTGGCATCGGCCACGGCACCTGCGAAATGGCACCGTGTTTGAACTACGGGATGCGCGGAGACGGGAGCGCATTGCGGTGCATTTCTGCACAGCAACGTGCAGGACAGGAAGGAGGCGTTCGCAGACGATATCCGCGATAATTTTTTTTAGGTTTTCCCACGTAACGAGGCCCTTCACCGCCCAACACAGCCAAACAAATGGCATTATCACGCGGCACACAAGCGTTCAACCACGGACCGATCATCGTCGCAGCTCACAGTTGAGTGATAGACATCTCAACTTTGCCAACCCATACTAACCAGCGTGGCGAAGAACGGTCGAATAACTGTCATGACCGACACTGCCGCACCTCCAATTAGCACGGTTGGCTACGTATGGTGCGATACAAGTTCAACATACGTACGTACAATACAGACGTTGTGGAGTGACTCAGAGAGTGAGTGGGGAGTGTGGAAGGCTGGTTATGTTCTAACAATCATCACCAGCAGCGACTGTTCAAGATGGTCAACATTATTGTGTAATGGTGTTTGATGGTGCTCCTTTAACAGGTCAATTCAACCTCAAATGAGTACCTGATGCGGTGTGTAAACATCGCACCGAGGGAGATGTGGTGCTTGCCACCCACCCCTATTGTGTGCCATGTCGGTCTTCATAGATGCTACTCACTAACAGCACTTGCCCCAACAGCCTGTTAAGGCTATAAGGGGGAATCATATTCATCTTCTTTGGTTCTTTCGGTAAAGTCACGTAGAATGAGAATAAAATAATAAATTGATAAAATAAAATAACACAATAATATTCTCACGACGTTTCGGCCACAACACAATCGGCCTTCATCAGGTGAAGGGACGAGACTGTCTGGTAGGACAGCGCACTCCAGCGCGTGAGAATATTATTGTGTTATTTTATTTTATCAATTTATTATTTTATTCTCATTCTACGTGACTTTACCGAATGAACCAAAGAAGATGAATCATTGCAGTCACGAAAGCTTGAAATGGGAATCATATTCTTGGGTTCTTTGAACCTATCTCCGTGAACCTATGTGACTTTACCGAAAGACCCAATAATATGAATTCCTGCAGTCACGAAAGCTTTAAGTCAAGATATTAAGGGGGATCTTTGTCTTTGGTGATTGCTACTGGTTTCTTCATATTAATAACAATAATTAATATATTATATATCAATACCTTCAGATTCATGTATTTGCGTATTTATCCAGGAAAGCCACGCTGAGTCCAATGATACTTTTTTTAGGAGGGTCCTACATTGGGTTTTTAATTGTAGATGTTTTAGAAGTTAAGGATGAGTTGTGTTTCTTATACAAATGGGAGGAAACCAGAGCACCCGGAGAAAACCCACGGCTTGCACGAGGGGGCAACTGTCTAACCCCGCGCATATGTGAACAGATGACAGTTACAAAATGGGACCTTTTTGCTAGTATCGAAGTATGAAAAAATAAGAATAGGTTTTACCATTTCTGGCAATAAAACAGGTGTTAAGATGTTCAAACGCCAAATAGATACGTTTTGCAAGGAATCAAGTCTGCATAAAGCACACGTACTTATTGTGAACATGCAAACAAAACATGTTCTGATAATATATGCAGTCTTTGAAACTGATTGGCCAAACCAGAGACAGCCTTCTGTAGGGCCCCGTCTCACCAGTGGCATACCAGAGAATGCAAAAAGATGAACAGTACAAGGACAATGCACTATCAGAGCATTTATAGCTTGGGATGAGCAACTACAAAATGGGACCTTTTTGCCGGTATCAAAGTGTAATAAACGACGTCCACGACGACTCTTGACTGGTTTCTTTTATTCAACAGAATGTCTGCACAGCTCCGCGCTCTCTCTCCCTCTCGGTAGTTCCCTCGCTTCACCCGCTGCCTTGACGATCCGCGGCATGCCTCTCTCTTTCTGTTCACGCCGCTGACTGGCGGCGGCGTGCCCGGAGGAGATGTTGCTTTGCTGGGGGTTCGCCACGTGGTCGTTGGCGAGGAGAGGTAGAGCGGCGATGCAGTCGGGACCCGAGGCTTCCCACACCGACCTCGAGTCCTCTCCTGCCTCCGCTTATATGCCTCCCGGCGGAGCTAAGCTCCGCCTACAGCCACGCCCCCGCGTGGAATCCTCTGGACGGTTTCCGTATATTCCCCGTAGCTCCGCCCATTACCGTTGGCCAAGATCAAATCCCTACTCGAGGTTGGATACCGGTTACCCAGCGGTGGCCATGCAGATGTCCCCTGTAACCCCCCAGGTGGCTCTCTCTCAAAGTATGAAAAAATCATAGGTTTTACCCTTTCTGGCAATAAAACAGGTGTTAAGATGTTCAAACATCAAATATAAACCTTTTGCAAGGAATAAAGTCTGCATTAACCACACGTACTTGTGGTGAACATGCAAACAAACACGCTCTGATAATATATGCATTGTCTTTGAAACTGATTGGTCTACACCAAATGACGATTAGTCCACTTGCTGTACAGCCATCTCCTGGCGTGCCACTGCATGTTACCTCCTCGACACCCACGCGGAAGGGAGTTTCACAACGTCTATGTGTGCGGTGAGCCACCAACCCTCGCTGCTGCCTCCACGCAGCGCTGGTTCACAGCTGCCACGTGCGCCATTGTGACTGCTGGCAGAGGGGTCGATCACAATAGATTGACCCGCGCCTGCCGGCGCTGTTCGTGAGTGCACAGGTGAGCAGCCGGTGGCGCTGCGGAGCAGCGATCAAACGAGTCGCCTATTGCCATTGGTTTGGCCATTGTGTGGCACCCAGTGGCGTAGTAATAAGTTCAGGGAGTGCGGCAATCGATCAGGTGGGGCCCCAATATTTGATTTGTCTCGTATGTTCGCATCTAGGCTATTAAATATCGCGGCTCCTCTTGCCTAGTCACATCATCGTTCCGATCACGGCCTCGACCATTTAACGCTGTAGGGGGCGCTCCGTCTTTGGAAAATGCAGCCACGACAGATCTGCTTGTCCACCTGGTTACACTTTGACAACTACAGTGAGGGGAAAAAGTATTTGATCCCCTGCTGATTTTGAAAGTTTGCCCACTGACAAAGAAATGATCAGTCTGCAATTTTAATGGAAGGTTTATTTGAACAGTGAGAGACAGAATAACAACAAAAATCCAGAAAAACGCATGTCGAAAATGTTATAAATTGATTTGCATTTTAATGAAGGAAATAAGTATTTGACCCCTCTGCAAAACATGACTTAGTACTTGGTGACAAAACCCTTATTGGCAATCACAGACGTCAGAGTGTTCCTTGTAGTTGGCCACCAGGTTTGCACACATCTCAGGAGGGATGTTGTCCCACTCCTCTTTGCAGATCTCAAAGTCATTAAGGTTTCGAGGCTGACGTTTGGCAACTCGAACCTTCAGCTCCATCCACAGATTTTCTATGGGATTAAGGTCTGGAGACTGGCTAGGCCACTCCAGGACCTTAATGTGCTTCTTCTTGAGCCACTCATTTGTTGCTTTGGCCGTGTCTTTTGGGTCATTGTCATGCTGGAATACCCATCCAAGACCCATTTTCAATGCCCTGGCTGAGGGAAGGAGGTTCTCACCCAAGATTTGACGGTACATGGCCCCGTCCATCGTCCCTTTGATGCGGTGAAGTTGTCCTGTCCCCTTAGCAGAAAAACACCCCCAAAGCATAATGTTTCCACCTCTATGTTTGACGGTGGAGATGGCGTTCTTGGGGTCATAGGCAGCCATTCCTCCTCCTCCAAACACGGCGAGTTGAGTTGATGCCAAAGAGCTCCATTTTGGTCTCATCTGACCACAACACTTTCACCCAGTTGTCCTCTGAATCATTCAGATGTTCATTGGCAAACTTCAGACGGGCATGTATATGCGCTTTCTTGAGCAGGGGGACCTTTCTGCAATGTAGATGCCGGGATATTGCATGTCAGGGATCTAGTCCTTCACAGATGGGATCAGATCACGAATTTTATGTACTGTGTTAAATTGGACTTGGATCTTGTATTTGTTCATCAAAAGCGCTAAGATACCAGTCAGCAACATCAGTAAGGATGAGCGTTTTGAGTTATGTCAATTGAAATAGAGGGATGATATTATCATCCTCTCAGCCGACAAGGGCAGTGCCACGGTCATCATGGACAAAACCGTATACAATAACACAATTCAGGACCTACAGTGAGGGACAAAAGTATTTGATCCCCTGCTGATTTTGTACGTTTGCCCACTGACAAAGAAATGATCAGTCTATAATTTTAATGATAGGTTTATTTGAACAGTGAGAGACGGAATAACAACAAAAAAATCCAGAAAAACGCATGTCAAAAATGTTATAAATTGATTTGCATTTTAATGAGGGAAATAAGTATTTGACCCCCTCTCAATCAGAACGATTTTTGGCTTCCAGGTGTCTTTTATACAGGTAACGAGCTGAGATTAGGACCACACTCTTAAAGGGAGTGCTCCTAATCTCAGCTTGTTACCTGTATAAAAGACACCTGTCCACAGAAGCAATCAATCAATCAGATTCCAAACTCTCCACCATGGCCAAGATCAAAGAGCTCTCCAAGGATGTCAGGGACAAGATTGCAGATCTACACAAGGCTGGAATGGGCTACAAGACCATTGCCAAGCAGCATGGTGAGAAGGTGACAACAGTTGGTGCGATTATTCGCAAATGGAAGAAACACAAAAGAACTGTCAATCTCCCTCGGCCTGGGGCTCCATGCAAGATCTCACCTCGTGGAGTTGCAATGATCATGAGAACGATGAGGAATCAGCCCAGAACTACACTGGAGGATCTTGTCAATGATCTCAAGGCAGCTGGGACCATAGTCACCAAGAAAACAATTGGTAACACACTACGCCGTGAAGGACTGAAATCCCCTGCTCAAGAAAGCACATATACATGCCCGTCTGAAGTTTGCCAATGAACATCTGAATGATTCAGAGGACAACTGGGTGAAAGTGTTGTGGTCAGATGAGACCAAAATGGAGCTCTTTGGCATCAACTCAACTCGCCGTGTTTGGAGGAGGAGGAATGCTGCCTATGACCCCAAGAGCACCATCCCCACCGTCAAACATGGAGGTGGCAACATTATGCTTTGGGGGTGTTTTTCTGCTAAGGGGACAGGACAACTTCACCGCATCAAAGGGACGATGGACGGGGCCATGTACCGTCAAATCTTGGGTGAGAACCTCCTTCCCTCAGCCAGGGCATTGAAAATGGGTCTTGGATGGGTATTCCAGCATGACAATGACCCAAAACACACGGCCAAAGCAACAAGTGAGTGGCTCAAGAAGAAGCACATTCAGGTCCTGGAGTGGCCTAGCCAGTCTCCAGACCTTAATCCCATAGAAAATATGTGTGAAGATCTGCAAAGAGGAGTGGGACAAAATCCCTCCTGAGATGTGTGCAAACCTGGTGGCAAACTACAAGAAACGTCTGACCTCTGTGATTGCAGAGGGGTCAAATACTTATTTCCCTCATTAAAATGCAAATCAATTTATAACATTTTTGACATGTGTTTTTCTGGATTTTGTTGTTGTTATTCTGTCTCTCACTGTTCAAATAAACCTACCATTAAAATTATAGACGGATCATTTCTTTGTCAGTGGGCAAACGTACAAAATCAGCAGGAGATCAAATACTTTTTTCCCTCACTGTACATAGAAACAAACATGTTATGCACAATTTGCGGTAGCCAAACGTTACTGCTCGAAATCAATTAAAATTAAACAGCATTTTCGTGGAAATTAATTTAAACCGCGTTTTAAATAAGTTGTTGTTCTCGTGGTGGTTGTCAAGGAGGCCCCAACTCGTAGCTTTGGCCACCAGGGGGGGCAGGGCATCTCCTCTGCCCCCATGCTTGTTACGTCACTGGTGGCATTGCCATTGGGTCGAGTTCATGTACAATTCCTTCTCCGCCTGTCAGGCACTCGTTGCTATCGCACCCACAGCGCCAGGAAAGGCGAACAAGCGAGTAAAATCACAGGCGCCCCAAGAAACCCGTAAGAGCCGGGGATTCATTCCACCATCGGGGTGCGTCACATATCAGCTCGAATTGAAATCCTGATAACCATAAAACGATCATTGATCACATATATCAGCCAATCAATGGCTCCAATCCCTGCCTTTGTCTCTATCTGTGTTATCTTTTTCCACGACATCTCTATTATCCAGAATAAACACCTCATTTAAGACCCAAACGTCGCATCTTCTCAGCTGTGACATTCGTCGTCCTCCTCCATCGACGACACTGGTGAACCTTCAACCACATGAAAACATCAACAGGCCGATGTACAACACATCTCCTTCATGGGGAAATTAAAGACAAGCCACAGCAGTGCGATTGCGGCCACCGTGGAGGAAGAGCCAGGGCTCGGCAGCCAAAACAAGACGATAAAAAAAATTTCGAATTCAATAAAAAAACTCAATAATTCAAAAACCACAATGCCATGTGAAGAGTAGACTGTCCTTAACAAACGACGTCACGAAGCAGTCCTTAAAGAGCCGGATGCGGCTGGTTGCTGAGCCCTGGCCAAATAGCTAAAACGACACGAGCATTTGCCTTCATGCGCAAGGACAACACGTGGCGTTTTAATGAATGGACTTCTCGTCGGGGCTGTTTAATTTTCCATCAGCCGTAACGAGAATGGAATCAGAATTTTTATTTTTACTGGAGGTATCCGATGAGCTATGATAGTGTTCTTATTTATCCTGAGGTTCACAACATAATCGCTTAGGAGCCACGTATCGCCCAACACTGCCCGAGTATATGAAGGCCTACCTCCGCTCACCGTGTTGATCATGGGGTTGTTTGACCACACCTCACCATTTTGTGATCAGAGCGGGTTTATGTAGGGCCAAGGGTCGGCAACCTGCTGTTCGGGAGCCGCTTTGGGACATCATTTATTAAGGACCACCGTCTCGTATTCGCCACATGGTGCATTGCGACTTTTGAAAATATTACGTTTTTTTATTCTAACCAAATTCCAAAAAAATACTTCTTGTTTTTTTTGGTTGATGACCCCTGATGTAGATGAATGATATACAGAAAAGTTTTTGCAACACAAAGTGAGCAATGATTTGAAGACAGACCAGGATTTAAGAAAACAGGCGGGTAACAACAGGAGCGCTTTTGGACCACGCAAGCGGGGAGCAATGAACCAATATGGGCTGAAGCGAGGAGGCATCAATCGGTGCGCATTGCCTGTATGGTCGCACCCCTTACACAAAGGCTGGCGACGAATCCAGAACGAGAGCTGAAACGTGGGCCAAGAAGCACGCAGAGGTGCATGTTGGGAATCTGTTCATCATCAGCCGTGCTCAATTCACGAGTGGATGAAGGCCTCCCCTGCTCTTCACAGTCAATATGATGCCTGTCAGCTGCGTGTGTTCTCCAATCCACGCATCCATATTTCTGCCCCTCGGCATGTGTATGTTGAACTTCTTTCGCATAGTACGTAACTAACCGTGCTATTCGGAGCTGCTAATACCATGCCTGCATCTCTTCATGCTGTGGCCCATATACCATTACAGTTGTATTGCAGTCGTTATTGTTTTCTGTTCATGTTCATATGAAGAAGTGACATTGCCAGGAACATCGCCTACTAATGCCCGTCTTTAAGGGACGTTTTATTGACGAATGTGCTGAGTGTTTGTTTCTATGTTGGCCCACAAAACGAATCTGAACTCTCATCACCAGTTTTCCCAAACCTTGTATTTTACCAGGTAAGGCCCACTGAGCTATACAGCTCTTTTCAGAAGCGACTTCGCCACAAATGATAGCTCAACGAAGTGGTTCATCGTGTGGACGTTTTTTGTAGACAAATACTCTAAACGCATGTTTCTTAATGTGGAGGGGAAACCCGGAGGACTCGAATAGAAAGCCACCTATTAACGGAGAGAGACATACAAACTTCAAATATACAGGCATGTATGTTGAACTTTTTTCGCACCGTACGTAGTCAAACGCGCTAATCGGAGGTGCGAGTGAAGCACAACAACACACAAATCAGTTTCAGTGTCGGGATAAAACCCACGACCTCCTGTATACCAGGCGAGGTAGTTAACATCTCGGCAGCGTGAAACCCATACAAATCCGTAACTTCTGTAAGTATAAACACGCGCGTGTTTCAATGAATCAGAACACCTACTACACGGCACTGTTCATGATCGTATGAACACGAACAAATGCGGACACGAGCATCACACGTGCCGTGTATCATCACACGTGCCGTGTTTCATCACACACGACACTGGCAATGCTGTTGTGTATTGTAAAAGGCAAAACTTACTCGACAGAGCCAACAGGATGAAGATACGCGCGGTGATGCCGAGTTCCATGTTTGTAAAAGCGATTGCGGGCTCCTCGGGTGTTGCGGCAGAGAGCTTCAGGAGAAGGGTTCAATACCGGGAGGAAACTGGGGATAGGTTTTAGTGTGAACGTCCAAGGGCTGTGAGGTGGCGAGGGAGTGGCGGTGCAAGGTGCAGCCCCTCAGAGTTGCCACATAACCGTCGGCTCCACTCCCTACAACGGCTGCTGGCTTAGTGAGCAGTCATAAATGTGGTGGTGGTGGTGGTGATGGTACAGTACCGTATCCTCCGGAAAGTAAGACGCTCCGGAAAATAAGACGCATCTCAAAGTGGTATTCGCGCCATTAATGTCACACTAATCTGGTCGCTCTCACGACGGAGCTGGGGGGGGGCGACGGAGCCAGGGGGGGGGGGGGGCGACGGCACAAGCAGAGGGAGCCGACACTGACTCACTCATCATGCACTGACTCACTCATCATGCACTGACTCACTCACACATCATGCACTGACTCACACATCATGCACTGACTCACTCACACATCATACACTGACTCACTCACACATCATACACTGACTCACTCACACACCATTCACTGACTCACTCACACATCATACACTGACTCACTCACACATCATGCACTGACTCACTCACACATCATGCACTGACTCACTCACACATCATGCACTGACTCACTCACGCATCATACACTGACTCACACATCATGCACTGACTCACTCGCACATCATACACTGACTCACTCACACATCATGCACTGACTCACTCATCATGCACTGACTCACTCACACATCATACACTGACTCACTCACACATCATGCACTGACTCACTCACACATCATGCACTGACTCACTCACACATCATGCACTGACTCACTCACGCATCATACACTGACTCACACATCATGCACTGACTCACTCGCACATCATACACTGACTCACTCATCATGCACTGACTCACTCACGCATCATACACTGACTCACACATCATGCACTGACTCACTCATCATGCACTGACTCACTCATCATGCACTGACTCACTCATCATGCACTGACTCACTCATCATGCACTGACTCACTCACACATCATACACTGACTCACTCATCATGCACTGACTCACTCACACATCATACACTGACTCACTCACACATCATGCACTGACTCACTCACACATCATGCACTGACTCACTCACACACCATGCACTGACTCACACATGCACTGACTCACTCACACATCATGCACTGACTCACTCACACACCATACACTGATGACTCACTCACACACCATACACTGGCTCACTCACACATCATGCACTGACTCACACATCATGCACTGACTCACTCACACATCATACACTGACTCACTCACACATCATACACTGACTCACTCACACACCATTCACTGACTCACTCACACATCATACATTGACTCACTCACACATCATACACTGACTCACTCACACATCATACACTGACTCACTCACACATCATACACTGACTCACTCACACCATGCACTGACTCACTCACACATCATACATTGACTCACTCACACATCATACACTGACTCACTCACACATCATACACTGACTCACTCTCACACCATACACTGACTCACTCACACATCATACACTGACTCACTCACACATCATACACTGACTCACTCACACATCATACACTGACTCACTCACACCATGCACTGACTCGCTCACACATCATACACTGACTCACTCACACCATGCACTGACTCGCTCACACATCATGCACTGACTCACTCACACCATGCACTGACTCACTCGCACATCATGCACTGACTCACTCACACATCATACACTGACTCACTCACACATCATACATTGGCTCACTCACACATCATACATTGACTCACTTACACCGTACACTGACTCACTCACACCATGCACTGACTCACTCACACCATGCACTGAGTCGCTCATCATGCGTTTACTCACTCACTCACACCATGCACTGACTCGCTCATTATGCGCTTACTCACTCACACATTATGCACTCACACAGCCACTGACCCATTCACTCATCATACACAGGTTCACTCATCGTGTGCTAGCTCACTCGCACATCATACACTCACTCACGCTGCTGCTGACTCACTCACACATACACTGACTCACTCATCATGCGCTAACACATCGTGCGCTGACTCACACATCATACACTCACTCAACCTAATACTGACTCAATCATCATACGCTGACTCACTCATCATACGCTGACTCGCACATCACGCTGCTGACTCACACATCATACACTGGGAGTGTCGTGCGGCCAGCTATGGCTGCAGGTTTTGTCGTACGTGTTATGTATATCGTTTATTGTTAAATTTTAAATCACAGTTCCTATGATTACTGTTGTTACATTGTTTTTGTAGCTTCATTTTGGTCCGGTTGTGGTGTAATAGTTTTCTGCAATGTAGATTCATATTTTGTTTGTTGCGGTTGCACCCGACTTAAGAGCTCACAGGGCTATACCTAATAAATGAAACTTGAAACTCACACACGCACATTGCTACCGGATTAGAAGACACACCCCCAACTTGATTTATTTGACGGAAAAAAGCGAGTTTTTGTGTCGGAGAATCCGCTAACTGTGATCGTGAATTTGATGGCAATTATTCCAAATGCATACCCATGACTATAAGTGGTTGGTGATTTTGTGCATCTTTTAAAAATAAGGCCATCATTACAAAGAGCATTGGATATACTGTAGGTGCAGAACCGCGTCTGTAGATTAAATATTAACCCAAGTCAAACAGAGCAAACCACTAACAAGCCTCAACTCTGCCGATGAGACACTGAATGTCCAATATGGTCCAAAGTTTTCTTGCACTTTCGTATGGCAATGTGAAGTTAGCAACATTCCATGTGAGTGTATGTGTGTCGAGGTGCAGTGTAGTTGTGAAGCTTCGTGCGGAGCGACAGACCAGGTAGCTTCCACATAGCGTTTTCCAACCGGAGTGAGACCTCTGCTGTTAAACCGGAGCCGGTCATGAGCACACTGCCCAGGTATGGGAAACTCTCCACTCCACAACTGCCCCATCATCGATTGGAAGTTGTGGGGGTGGAGTGCTCGATGGTACAAATTACCCAGGCAGGTGCTTCGTTTTGGTGGGGCTGATGGTAAGGCCCCACCTCTTCGTGGCACACTCCAGTTTCAGCCAGCAGCGCCTCTAACTCCTCCTCTGAGTGAGCCGCAATTACCAGGTCATCGGCATGCATAACGTGGTTGACCAATAGGGAGCCATCCCTTGACCGCACCCGGGCATCGATCAGCTCCCTTAATGGAACATCTTCACCGGTTAGAAACATTTAGGCTGGCCTGCTGACGATCAATACGATCAATCCTGGGTTTAACCAGGCTGGATTGTGTGAGGAGCTCACAAATCCACGAACAATCTGGACAAAGTCCCATCAGTGAGCTCTTCCGGTGTCAAGATCGGCCTCTGTGGAGGAGGCTCGTGTAGGACGCTATTGGGCAGTTTGGAGGCAGTCGCCCTCCAACAACAACAGCAGCCGGAGGAGCGACGCTCACAACAACGAGCGGAGCGCCGAGTGGCTAAAGCACAGCAAGTTGGCACAGTAGGGGGCACAGGTGGTGCATCAGCCAGTCATCTCAGTCAGTCGACCCGTGGCACTTGGGTCTGCCCCGTGACCTCCTGCCAGCGGGCGTTCGACACTTCACGTGGCCTCAAGGTGCACATAGCCTGGCACAAGCATCGTGGTGACGTTACCGCCACGTAGTGGCGAATGGCGGTTGTTGTTGTAGTTGTGAGCACGCTGCGTTAGGAACCCGGCGAGCCAAGTTCGATTCCCACTCACGGCCAACACTAGTGACAGTTATCTAAAATGGTTCTGGGCCTCCCCTAGGTCGACTCAGCCTCAAATTAGTACCTGGTGCGGTGTGGAAACATCGCCATTGGGGAGAGAAAGGCGGCAGGGCGTGGTGTTGGCCACCCACCCCCTTGTGTGCCGTGCCGGCCATCATAAGTGCCCGTTAACAGCATTTGCTCCAACAGTCTGTTAAGGTTCTATGATTCTTTCGGTAAAGTCACGTAGATATAAAAAATAATAAAAATAAAGTGAATAAAAATAAAAATATAATGACGTTTCGATCGCTACACAAGCGGTCGTCATCAGGAACAGGGAGGTTAGCCTCTGAGGGCAAACTGTTTCTAAAGGTTTTGAGATGGGCGGGACAGCTAATGTTAATGTAGGAGAAGGCTCCGACACCGGCAGTAGGTCTACACCAATCAAAGAGCTGTTTATAAAGGTTTAGAGATGTTATTATTTTGTCTATCTACCATAGACTATTAATTATTTCAGTCATGAAAGTTTTAAGTAAAAATGTAAGTCCGTTAAGGCTAAACGGGGGTCTTTGGCTTTTACCATGCTATCCGTGGTCTGGCTTTGGCGATCATAGCAGTCACATCCAGTACAATCCATTAGAGGGTTTTTTTTTTAGGTTAGATCGCGTAAATATATAAATGTCGTTAAACCCGCCACCACCCGACACAGCCAACTAGTAAGGGTTGTCACGTAAACAGAATATGCCAATTCATCACTAGTACAGCGCACCGGTGTGTTGGAGAGCCAAGCCACAACATTTACAATCTGAGTACGACGTTTCGCCAGTAATTACAACTAGCTTCATCAGGCGACAGACAGATTTGTGGAGAAGTCCACCTGTTTCGTTCCTTATATAGAGGCGTAGATGGGAAGACATCACTTGTGCACTCTTGCGGGGAATAATGAGTCAACATACATTATGCATGCACATTGTGCGAGCCCATTGATCTTGTCCTTCCTGTCCATTGTGTGTATTAAAATAGCCATACCAACGGTAATCCCTATTGTAGTATGGTGGCCTGTATAGGCATGCATTTAAAAATGTATTAGTTGATGATTCGCTTCCATGCAGCACTAAGTCGGTAGCTATCCGAACGGTTAAAAACATTTTCTTTCAATTTCGATAGATTCTCTAATTAGTCTTGGCCACGTTCTTTGGGTCTCTCAGTAAAGTCACGTAGATAGGTTCAAAGAAAATAACAAAAAACTACGACGTTTTGATCGCAACACAAGCGGTCATCAGGAAAAGGGGGGGGGGTTAGCTTCTAAAG